TTTTAATAATTGCTTACTAATACTAAGCACCATATTCATACGCCTTTGCTATTGCACTTTACAGTGAAAATAATGGATCATCAGGAGTTAAGCCAGTAGTCGAATCTAAGGTGAACTTACCAAGATCACTGTCTACATAAAATGTAATTTCAGTAAATCCAGATTTTTAAATGCATAAGCCAGTAGTTTTAGAAGTAGAATCTGTGAGCAGATAAAATCCTTTCTTGCATGAGATGCATTCTGTAATTGAAGCACACTCAAAGCAACTATCATCACATATAGAACATTTTGAAGTTTCAATAAACCCCCTGTTATTAAAGGATATTTCTCCATACCTCCCAAGACCACAATTAGTGGTACATTAATTAGTCAAAGGATCAACAAACCCTTCATTGCATGCCAATATAAATTGTTAGATAGGCTTGCCATTTTAGGTATCAAAGGTAAAATTGCATCTAGTGGGAATTGAATTTAGAACATTTTCTACCTGAAACTGAATATCAATATCGCACTCTAATAAATTTAATAATTTAGAACAAAATTTTTATTTGAAATTATAAAGAATTTATTTACTTTTGCATTTTTGATTTCCATCTGTATCATTATATAGGCTATAGCCTTCTATGCAGATATCGCAATTATTTTAATTCTTTGCTTCGAGACATATCTCTTTCTATGAGGCTATTTAATTTAGTGAAAGGTGATTCATTACATTCTAAACAAGTATCTTGATAATTCTGAGTGGTTTCATTGAAAAATGCTCTAATTTTTAAGTAGAATCCATCTTTGCATTTAATACAATTATATTAATTTGCATAGTCAAATATCAAGCAACCATGATCTGAGCTTTATGATGACGTGATGAAAGGACCTATATGAAATTTCAAAAAATAACTTACTTACTGCAGTGTTGCAAATTATCACCAGTCAATTAAGACATTTGGTTTGTAGGAAAGGTACATTAAGTACACCTAGCCGTATCATCTTAAGAGCATTTTTTGCAAGGATAATCAGTATCACATACTAAAAGATATTAAATAGTTTGAGACTACTTTGACATTTTTAAAAATAATTTTCTTGTAATAATTCTAAATTTGTAATCTCCGTCTTCGTAATCCAACCCTTTGATTGCTATTCTCCAGGGCAAATCTCACACCCAGTTTTTGAATTGCATTATTAGCAAGTTTCTCCGCATTCTATACAATCAAATATTGAAATATTTTTAATTACGAAGACAACTAGAATCTACTTTCCCATTTATGAAAGATTTATGAGTTTAATGGCAATCAGGAGTACAAAAACTGGAATTTTTATTAGAGTTTTTACTTCAAATGAGATATAATCCACTCTAGCAGCTCAGACACTCAAAATTTGTTTTATTTTAGCCCAATTATATTTGTTAGCATTCAATGCAACCTAAGCTTTAATCAGAACATTCTAAAAATGATGAATAAATGAGACAATAAAGAAATATTACTAAGGCAATCATTAGTAGAAACATTCAAGAATTCATCATCACCGCCTAGTTAAAATAATTATTTGTAGTTTACATGATTTAGATTATGCTAAGCATATCACTTTCAAAGTTAAAATTCCGATTAGTGAATTCTTTACTTTTATCATTTAATATTATTAAATTTCTTTTTCTTTAAAATCAAACCCATTAAATTCATCTAACTTAAAACAATGGAAAAGAATTTTTCAAAGTAATTAATTTTTAAAAAAATATGTATTAAGT